GGGGGGGGGGGGGGGGGGAGATCTGATGTTAGATCCTGTAGCAGTGGAACTGTGTCCAGAACAAATAGGAAGTGGTGCTACGTTCTGTGAATCCGGAAAAGTTGTTAGGGATGTAGCATGCAAAGAATTCATGGTTTCTATCACGCCAAAGCATAAGATTAGGTTAATTAGGATTAGGAAAAAAAATTGAAATTGATGGAGCAGTAATAAACATTCATAATGCTAGAGAGTTATTGGATACGCATGAGTTTAAGACTATTTCGTGGTCAACACGTATAAAAATCATGCATGGGGTCACATCCAGACTTTCATTTCTGCATGCCAAAAACATTGTTCATTGTGATTTAAAGGCTGCAAATGTCTTCGTCGGCGACAATGGAGATGATGGTTTGTTGGTCAAACTTGGTGACTTTGGGACAACATTGTTTGATTTTGCACAATTCTCAGTTTCAGTAATGCCAGCTGCAACAAACACCGATAACTCTGTTATGTGCACAGCTGCATATACCGCTCCAGAACTTCTCGAGAGGGGTGCAAAACCGTCGTTTGAGAGTGATGTCTACAGCCTCGCCATGGTCATGATCGAGTCGTTCAACTCCTTGGAAAGGAGAGGTGGCGAATTCTTCCATTATCTATGATTTTGTACGTAGAGGAGAACAACCATCTGTTTCAACAGAAGATCTCTCTGGGTTGAAGTCTGAAATGGCATCGCAGTGAATAAGACTACTTCGTGAATGCTGGGAGCAAAATCCAACAAAGAGACCTACCAGTGCAGAAGCCACTTCGAAGATGTCATCGCTTTATAGTGAAGAATTTAGTGTCAAATACAAAAGCTTCCAGGAATGGAAAATCCAAAATCAAGACGTACTCTTCATTTCTTTGAACACTCACCAAGGAATGACCATTGAAGTTGTGGATGAATTAGTATGTGGTTTCACTTAAAAAAAATGAGAATGTCATCAGAATTAAATCTAGATTTGACTGAGAACCTTTATCAAAATGACGGAAGCAACGCATGTGTGTACAAAAATTGTGGACAAGCTTATAGACTCTTCTCTTTTGTGTGGCCAGGACAACCATATAATCGTTAAACGTTTTTCGGAGGACACAATACGGAAACTGCCAAAACACATCAATTCTTCACGGTAGATTAGGGAATTAACAGATGTCAATCAAGCAATCCAAGTGATGAACCAGGATGAGGTGATTTGTGACGGAATTGTTGGAAAAACAGTCCTCTAAGACACTTCACGAAAAACATTGTTACCGGTACTTAAAGAGAGCTCTTACTTGTTTAGAACAATCAGTTAACACCGACGGAAAGGCGTTCACAATCTATTTGTGCAGGCCATTAGCTATTCTAGTAGGAGTACTACATTCGTCTTTTATAATAGTGGACACTCATAAGGTACCCGAAGAGGCTGGCGGTACACAGTATGGCTTAATAGTACAGTTCACTTTTGATACCGATAAAAAAGAGACGGTTATAGATAACATAGTGGAGTGGATATCCATTAGGATGAGAGCTTCAATTCAAAACTATTCCACAAGTTTGCATTCATTAGTTCTCCTTCAAGTAATTAAAAAATCGGGAACTGCCATTTTCGAGTTTGACATTTCAGATGTAGACGATGAAGAGCTTTTAAATGCCAGCCTGGAAGCTGAAAGAAACAAAGGTTATCTTCCCTCCGTCGTAAATGATCATTCTGAGTAGCAGCAAGTATCAGGTCAGTGCTTTGAAGTTGATGAACCTACGATGAAAGGTTTAAATGCAAGCGTGGAATAAATATCTTCACCAAGTGAGAACGTAACAGTTAACGATAAAGATAATACAATTCACTCAACTAATTACATCCTTCCTAACGATTTACCTGATGTCAAACACGACGATTCAATTGTTTGGAAGGGGCATTGATACGATAGTTGTGCAAGCAACTGGAAGTGGCAAGAGTTTGTGTTTTCAGTTGCCTTCTCTTTTCGATCGCCAAAAATTTGTTGTTGTAGTGACCCCAACTATATCATTGATAAATTCACAAATTGAGGAATTGAAGAAACTAAACATAGATGCAATCGCTCTAGGAAGATCAGCAGGACAAGATGCACAGCGTAATGATGACAGGTTGTTTTACAACAATGGCACAAGTCCTCTTCCATCACTTGTGTTCATGTCTCCTGAGCATTTTGTCAATCGCGTTTGCTACAGTCTGGGAGAAAACAAAGAAAGCATCAAGTTATTAGTCTTAGATGAGATGCACAAAATGTTTGATAGGAACTCCAATTTTCGTTTGTGCTATGATTTTTTCAAGGGAATTAAAGAAAGGTTTCCTTGTGTACCAGTAATGGCCCTAATTGCCACCTTAAGTAAGGGTCAGTTGCAAAGCTTGTGCGTTGACTATTTACAAAATCCCGTCCTTATTAAGAGTTTGATTAATCGCAGCAACATCAAATTAAACATTAAATCATATGTTCACACAAAAAAGAGTAAGTCAAGCGCAGATGGGAAACTCAAGTTTGAAGGAAGGAATTTGGTGTGCATGTGCAACAGATATAAAGAACATAACTGGTGATAAATATGCCATAATCTTTATGGATTTTCGTAGTGATGTTGAACTGATGACTTAGTCACTGAGGTTGCAAATAGGAGAAGAAAACGTGAGACCATATTACGGAAGCGGAATGACCCATGATGTGAAAAAGAAGAATGACACTGATTTCAGGGCAAAGGAGTTCCAAGTCTTGGTAGCCACAGAGTCGTACAAGGTTGGCACACATAGCCCACATGTGGACAATATTTTCAGGGTAGGTTGCATGCGGAATCTTAGTGTTATCATCCAAGAATTTGGCAGAGCCGGAAAGAGTGGTAACAGCGCTGATCGCTTTCTTCTTATTAACGAATCGAAAGACGACCAACGTTTGGCTTTCTGGACTAAAGGCTGTACAAAGAATGAAGATGAACTCTTAATAGAACAATTTGTCCAATCGTGGTGGCGGATATACTCTATTTACACTGGTAGATATTTAAATTAAGAGAGGAGATAATTTCCTAGTTTGGGGACGGTCAATTGGAGCTGAAATGTATAGATGAATGTTGTTCCAGTTGTGATATTAACTCAATTCAATCTGCCAATATTAATTTCCGACGTATATGACGGGAAGATTAAATGTTAAAGAACTTTGCGAGTATTTGCAGTAGACATACGAAAATACCACCAAAAAATTCCGCTTGATCGATACTATATATTCAGAAATATTCATATAATTTTATTGTTTCTCGCTCAATTTCAAGCAAATTTCTTACCTTGAAATGATCAATGCGGTGAAATTTATGCAAATGACACATCAATTTTGCTGTTGCATTTTGAATGTTCCGCCTGATCCAAATGCTCATCTTTTTGCTTCTTTTCAACGTATAATAATAACAAATATACCAAAAGAATCGCCATCTTCCATTCTATAGCTCGTGGCAGTCTCGGGAAATTGCAAAATAATCTAAGCCTATTATGGCAATTCTCGTGATCGGAAAGTGTTCGGCCAACTTCGGACGCCAAATTCTTGGTAAAGCATTACAGTTTCCTGGTAAAAGACTACAGGAATCACTTCCGGAGTGTTTGTTTACCCTAGATACGGATTTTGAGTGGCTTAGGCAGAAAAGCAAATCTTTTAGAGCAATTTTCCTGATTATCGCACACGGGAACGCACAAGCGTTGAAATGTATTGTGTTGTAGTTTTGTTTGAATCACATTCTGAAGATGTTTTTGGCTTTATTTTGCAAACTGATAGTGCTAGTAATGATGGAATGTCTTTGTATGAAGACAAGTATCTCAACCTGGCATTGGGGATCGTGTCTGGAGTTTCAAGGCAAGTATTTGTATCATTTCTAGACAATTTCTATTTCAATGTTTTACCATTGCCATGGCGTTGTAAATTTATTTGTATTTAGTATAGCTTCACTAGTACGACCAAGTATGTCCTCATATCGCTTTTTTTGTGTTGAAATAATCATTTCATACTGAAATTGACAAATATAAATGGTATTTATTTATATTATTGACGAAAATTTATGTGATGTTTTAGGCATAAAAATTCTAGGCGAAGTAAAATGAGCCTTGAGCACATGTTTGGTTGTTTGTTACATACATAATAGCCAAGTATTCATACTTATATCTTACTAGTTTGGCTCTTATTATAATTTTAAGTGGCACCATGTCTATAAAATTTTTTATTTGCACTGATGAATATATTGATCCCGTTCCTATCTGCTGTTCCTGTTTCATAGCCTCAGGGAAGTAGAGTTCTGATGAGTCATGAGAACCCCACTCACCAACCCAGAGGGAAGGTAGGGGGATGAGTAGAGGTAGAGGGAAGCCCAGCCATTAGGACCTAAGGTTTCGTAAGCTCCCTGTCTAGCATCCCCACTAGGCCCCATAGTACATGACGGATATGATGATCCTGACGCTAGGAATGTTCTCCCAGATTTTGCTCCTCACTGACATGTCCGGGATCCATTTCGATCAACTGTGAGCTTGAGTTCATTCGGCTCAATGAACTGTGAGCTTGAGTTCATTCGACTCTTTTTTACTAAGGGAATGCTTCAGGAGGTAGTTTCCTGGCCATACCAATACATATGCCCACATTCAAATAACTCAAAAGTTATCCCCATATACTAATAAAGAAGGGTCTTGCAGTCCACCAACCTTGAGAGGTTGATTGCCTTTTAGTATATGCAGGTTTGCTAAAGGTTGACAGTGAGATTGAAAATTATTGGAGTGTAAAAACCTTATATCATGGTCTGTGGGCAATAGAAATAATTTCTCGGGTTAGGTACAAAAGCGCTTATGGCGTTTGTGAATATGGTAGATCCTGTACTAAGACTACAGCAATAAACTGCATCAACAACTGTACCAGCCGTCACAGAATATTGTTGTTGCAGACAAACACACTGTCAAATCAAGAAATAGGTTGGGGGTTAGGCAGTTCATGAAAGCTAGATGACCTACTATGTGGGGAATAAATCTGTGGGTTGCTGCAGACAATCTAATGGTTATATTGCGACTTTGAAATTTATACAGGAAGAAGTCCAGATATTCATCCCAACAGATTTGGGTATGATGTGGTGATCTGATATCAGTTTGGTTACAGTCTTAGGTCTTTTGTAGTACACTATAAAGGAAATATTTTCACCACATAATCCAATTATGTGCTTTGGCAAACATTACTGCCTTGGAAAACATTACTTTTTTATAACTACTAATTATGATGATGCCAGCCCAACAACACTTGGTCATGCTAGTTGCAAATATTTTCATGTTCTAGATTGTGAAAACAATCAATTTCTAAACAAATGAGTAGTGATTATTTCAAATTTGAATAGCATGACCAAATTTTGAGGCTGGTTATGCCACTAATAACTAAAGTCAATGGTTTAATGATTATCTAAGAATGTATGTAGTAATTGTAGAAATAAAGGCATTTTGCTAATCATGATTTGAGTGTTCTTTTGTGGGTATCACAGACTTATTTTGGTGGTATACTATCTTTGGAGAGTAAGAAATATTGGAATA